TTGGTGGGGTGTTGTGTGTGTTTTTGATATATATTAAATATACATAATATATAATATATAATATAAATAATATAAGGATAATATATAGAATATTATATATATAATTAGTCCAGCCCATGAGAGCCGACGGGGGGAGAGAGGGAGAGACACGCATAGTCAAAGGATTTTGGCTTATTGATGACCTTCTGGGGAGGCTCCGTGGCCATCTTGAGCAGTCTCGGAGCGGTCTTGGGGCCTCTTGGAGCATCTTGTCTTGGGAGCCACCTGGAGCCAGCTTGAGCTATTTTGAGCCATCTTGAAGGTCACCTTGGGCTCTTTGAGGCCCTTCGGGGGCCGCTCGGGGGCCTGTTGGGGGCCCCTCGGGGTGCCTTTTGGATGCCTCTTGGGGCTTCTTGGGGCGCTCTTTCGGCCCTCCTGGGGGCCTCCTGGGAGCCCTGGAGGGCCTCTTGGGGCCATCTTGGAGGCGGTCGGATCAAAGAGTGGGGGTACTAGATTTGCGTCCCCCCCTCGGGGGCAACAGTGGCAGAAAAAGGAACCTCCGACACATCGCGACCCCCTCCCAAAGCAAACTTCAGGGAGGCGAGGGGGAGAGTGCCCCTTCCCGAAGGGAAAAGGGATTGTGGAAGAGGAAAGAGACCCTCGTCAGACCACCTGTCGCCCACTGGGCTGGCGGGATTCGGTTATCTTTACGGCCATATAAGTATACAATCATATACCATAAGTATTTAATATCGCATGTGTTGTCATATTTCGTTGTGTTATGTTTACGTAGTTTCATGTCGTAGTTGGTGTGAGTAAGTTCGGTATCTGTTGCTGCAGCGCTCTTTCCGTTTCTGTGCCGGGCCAGGTAACGGAAAGAGCGAGGTACGAGCGATGACGTTGTGTGTTGGGCGAAGCCCCTTAAGGGGGGTTCCAGGGGGGTGCGTAGCGCGAGCGGATTGGCTCTAATGGCAGTTTTGGGGTTTTCCCTCGGGTTTTTGTATGTTTTATTTGGTTCCCCTCCAAGACGGCCCACGAGCGCTCCAAGAGAGCCCAAGACCGCCCAAGCCAAGAGGCCCCCAAGAGGCGCCCAAGGGGCGTCCCAAGAGGGCCCCAAGAGGCCCAAATCATCGTTTTGCCAGAGGAAAGCGTATATTTCTAGCACATATGGCTTTTCGCCTTCCACGGCGTTGACGACGGCCCAAGACCGCTCCCAGACGGCCCAAGAGGTTCCCAAGAGGCCCCCAAAACGGCCCAAGAGGGCGCCAAGACGGCCCAAGAGGCGCCCAAGACGGCCCAAGAGGGCCCCACGACGGCCCCGAAGGGGGGACCACGAACCGAACAGTTTAGCCTTTCGCCCCAAGGCGCTCCCGGGAGGCCCCCACAGCCCCCCAAGCATCCCCAATAGGCCCCCAAGAGGCGTCCCACGAGGCCACCAGGAGGCCAAAATCATAGATTTCCTATGGGAAAACGTGCATTTTTAGCATGCACGGCTTTTCGGCTTTCGCGGCGTTGACGACGGTCCAAGAGGCCCCCAAGACCGCCCCAAGACGGCCCAAGAGGCTGCCCCCAAAACGGCCCAAGAGGGCGCCAAGACGGCCCAAGAGGCGCCCAAGACGGCCCAAGAGTACCCCAAGACGGCCCCGAGGGGGGGACCACGAACCGAACAGTCTAGCCTTTCGCCCCAACACGCTCCCGGGAGGCCCCCACAACCCCAAGCATCCCCAAGAGGCCCCCAAGAGGCCCCCAAGAGGCGTCCCACGAGGCCACCAGGAGGCCAAAATCATAGATTTCCTATGGGAAAACGTACATTTTTAGCATACACAGCTTTCGGCTTTCGCGGCGTTGACGACGGTCCAAGAGGCCCCCAAGACCGCCCCAAGACTGCACAAGAGGCTCCCAGGAGGCCCCCAGAACGGCCCAAGAGGGCGCCAAGACGGCCCAAGAGGCGCCCAAGACGGCCCAAGATGGCCCCGAGACGGCTCCAAGAGGGGGACCACGAACCCGAAAGTCTAGCCTTTCGCTTCAAGACGCTCCAGGAGGCCCCCAAGAAGCCCCAAGAGGCCCCCGAGAGGCCCCCAAGATGCCACCAGGAGGGCCCGAAAAGGGCCCCAATAGGACTCCCACGAAGGCCCAGAGACGCCAAGAGCGATCGGTAATGCAAAAAGCTCTTCACACCAAGGCTCCCAAGAGCGAACGGTGACGTAAACAAGCTGATAAGACCAAGGCTCCCAGCAGAGAGCTGTGACGTAACAAGTTCCTGACACCAAGGCACAGCCAAGGCTCAGGAACGGGCGGCAACGCAACAATCTCTGAACACCAAGGCTCCCAAGAGCGAGGGGTGACGTAACAAACTCTCAACGCCAAGGCTCCCGGTACGAACGGTGGTGTGAGTAATTTCGGTTTCTGTTGTTGCCGCGCTTTTTCCGTTTCTGTGCCGGGCCCAGGTAACGGAAAGAGCGAGGTACGAGCGATGACGTGGTGTGTTGGGCGAAGCCCCTTAAGGTGGGGTCCAGGGGGGAACGTAGCTTTCGAACGGATTTGGCTCTAATGCCGTTTTTGGGTTTATTCCCTCGGGTTTTGCCTGTTGTTCGGCAGGAAACGATACGAAAACATTCTCTTTTCTTCCGACCCATAAAGCCCAAGAACCACGCCCACGACCCGCCGAAGAACACACCACGCAAGCCCAAGACGGCCCAAGAGTTCCCCCACGAGGCCCCAAGAGAGCGCCCAAGGGCGGTCCCAATAGGCCCCAATAAGAGGCCACAAAACAAAACTTTTTTTTTTGAATTTCCCCATAATGAAAGATCGTATATTTTTAGCATGTACGGCTTTTCGGTTTTCACGGCGCCGACGACGGCCCAAGAGGCCCCCAAGAGTACCCCAAGATGGCCCAAGAGGTTCCCAAGAGGCTCCCAAGAGGCGGCCCAAGAGGGCCCCCGGACGGCGCCCCCACAGCCCCCCAAGCAGCCCCAAGAGGCCCCCAAGAGGCGTCCCACGAGGCCAACAGGAGGCCAAAATTATCGATTCCCCACGGGAAAACGTACATTTTTAGCAAGCACGGCTTTTTGGTTTTCACGGCGTTGACGACGGTCTAAGAGGCCCCCAAGACCGCCCCAAGATGGCCCAAGAGGCTCCCAAGAGGCCCCCAAGACGGCCCAAGAGGGCGCCAAGACGGCCCAAGAGGGCGCCAAGACTGCCCAAGAGGCGCCCAAGACGGAAGAGGACCCCCAGACGGCCCCAAGAGGGGGACCGCGAATCCAAAAGTCGAGCCTTTCGCCCCAAGACGCGCCCAGGAGGCCCCCACAGCTCCCCAAGAAGCCCCAAGAGGCCCCCAAGAGGCCGGGGCCTTTTGGGCGCCTCACGGGGCTTCGTGGGAGCCTCTTGGTGGCCTCTGGGGGCCTACAGGCGGCTTCGAGGGCCAGCGACCTCGAAATATCGGTTGGCGGTCCCCCTCTGGGCCCTCTCTTGGGAAGCTCTTGGGGCACAGTTGGGTTGTCTGGGGAGCCTCCTGGGCCGTCTTGGGGCCCTCTTCGGGGCCTCCTGGCCCGTCTTGGAGCGATCTGAAGGGCCTCCGAGCGAGGCCGTGAGGGAGCGCTGGGAAGCGGGGAAGGCGAGAACGCCGAAAACCTTCAAAAACCATTGGAAAATTAGTGAATCTTGCCTCCCAGGGCCCTCTTGGGGAGCCTCTTGAGTCTGTCCTGGAGCGTGTTCGAGTCCTCGTCGGCCGTCTTGAGGGCAGCTTAGGCGTCTTCGGGGCCTCTTGGGACCGTCTAGGGCCCTCTCGGAACCTCCATTAGCCTGTCGTGGCCTGCTTCGGGCCCAAGAGCGCGGGGTGACGTAACAAGCTCTCAACGCCAAGGCTCACAGTACGAACGGTGGTGTGAGTAATTTCGGTCAAGTTGTTGAAGCGCTCTTTCCGTTTCCGTGCTGGCCCAGGTAACGGAAAGAGCGAGGTACGAGCGATGACGTTGTGTTGGGGCGAAGCCCTAGAGCGAGGGGTTCCAGGCAAGCTAGGTGCGCTCGCGTCATATCTGACGTCCTACCCCTCCCTCCCATCCCTTACCATGGCGCTGATTTTCTCTATCCGCGGACGCGTGTCGTAGCGGACCTGTGGCTCCGCGCGCGCGTGCGTAGTGGGTGGTGGTGCACGTGCGTGCGTGCGTGCGTGTGTGCGTGGTTGTCGTGGTGGTGGTGGTGGTGGTGGTGGTGGTAGTGGTGGTGGTGGTGGTGGTGGTGGTGGTGGGCATCCTGGGGACCCCTTGGAGTCTCCTGAGGGTCTCGGGGATGATCTTGGAGCAGAGGTCTCGGCTTCCCCGTTCGCGCGTCCCCTCGTGAGCCTCTCTTGGGATCCGCTGGGAGGTCATGACCTGCGAAGCCACTTTGCAACCTGAGCAAGGGCGCTGCCCAGGAAAAAAAACACGGGCCACACTCGAGGCCCGTGGCCCTCGGGCACGTCCGTCTGCAGGAGGAATATTCAAGAATAGTAAAGAATAGTCGGGTGACGATTTTCTGGCAATGTTCTACCATGCGCGCATATGTTATGTTCATACTGTTTTAAGATCTTCCTCCAAAGCTCGCCTGTCGGGGGACATGCCCGACCTCAAGCTGGCCACCAGAGCACCCCGTCGCAATGCCCAGGGGCCCCAGGGGGCTCCAGCACGTGGCGGGGGGCGTCTCGGACCAGGCGCTCCCCGTGTCCAGGCCCCCCCTCTCCCGCCAGCTGGCATGGCCCCAGGATTCCTCGGGCCCCCCCCCCCCCAGATGGTATGGTCCCAGAGACGACGACGACGACGACGACGACGACGACGACGACGACGACGACGACGACGGCGACGGCGATGGCGACGACGACGGCGACGGCGATGGCGACGGCGACGGCGACGGCGACGGCGACGGCGACGGCGACGGCGACGGCGACGGCGACGGCGACGGCGACGGCGACGGCGACGGCGACGGCGAACTACGAAGACTACGACGACGGCGACGACGACGACGACGACGACGGCCGCCGGCGCCAGGTCCTGCCGGCCTCCTCCCGCAACATCCAGCTGGAGCCGAGCACGGAGGAGCCCGGCCCGCGCCGCCCACCGGCGCGCCGGCCTGCCGCCGACGTTCAGCGCGCCGCGGGCCGCGCCGCCGCCGCTGCGCTGCACGGGGCTGCCGTGGCTGTCGCTGCCGCCGCTGCGCTGCCAGGGTCGCAGGGGCGCGTAAGTGCATGGTGTCTTTTTTTTGAACCTGCACAACGCATGCCCCCTGGGTTCGTTCAAAGCACAGTTCAGAACGTGTGGGTCCATTGAGCTTGAGGAAACAAGCAGCCTTTCGAGCTCATTCGGGTAGCGCTCCACATCGGTGAGCGCGCTCCGAGGTTTGGGCCACTGGGGCGCAAGTCTGCCGTTGTCGAGGGGCGACGCAAGAGCAAGGATGTAATTGATCGTCGGGCTTCGCATGGCACTGGATTGCCGCCGATGTGGCCATCGTCACCCTCCCCAGTGGGGCCTCTCGGTGGCGTTAGCATATGTTCTGAAGGCTCTTGCGCGTGCTGGCGTTTCGGAAGCTTTCCAGCTGTTTCTCATCCCTCCTTTGGCTGGGTCCTTCCGATCACAGAGATTCCAGCCTCAGCAACCGTCTTGCGCCCCTGGAGTGGGGGAGGGATGGGGGGGGGGCAGCGCAATGCGACGGAGACCCAGATGAGGCCTCGGTGCCCTGGCCCTGCGGTTGCCAAGACGCTACACCTCGCCACGTTCCCGCGTCCCTGGGGGGTCCGCGGGAGGCTCATTGCGATTCCTGCACCCAAGACGCGTAAAGAAAGAAGGAGCTCGAGTTCGGACGGGGCTCGCCGCTCCTTGGGTCCGTCCATTCTTGTTCGCGCTCCTCGTGCGCCCACGCGCTCGTGGAGCCAGCGCAGGGCTTCGCGCATCCTGTGGCGTTCTTCTTGGCAGCAGCTTGACTGTAGTCCCTCCCATCGCATCCCTCGTCCGTGCCTGTGCTCGTGCCTGCTCGCACCCAGACTCCCCGCGGGCGTGTCGTTCCTGGGGCCACTGGTCCCATTCCGCTGCTCCCCCGACCGTGCCGCGCACGCTCGGAGACAGAGTCATTGTCCGCGATTATATCTTCCATCTCGCACTCGCTGAGCAGACAGAACCGAGGCCTGGCTCCCCAGTCCCGCAGTTGCTGCCCAACGTGAGACCGTTCCCACGTTTCTGCGCCCTGGGGTGGGGGGATAACGGTAAGCGAAGGAAAAAGGAAAAAAAAAAAAAAAAAAAAAAAAAAAAAAAAAAAAAAAAAAAAAAAAAAAAAAAAAAAAAAAATCAGAGGTCCGCTCGGATTTCTTGGATCGGCGTTGGGGCCCCCTGGCGGCGCCTTCGGCGCCGCCCCTGGCGCGCTCCGCGCGCCAGGGAGAGGGTCCAGCGCGGATCCGAGATTCCGCGCGGACCTCCGAGATTTTATGTTTATGCCATTCTTTATTCCCCTAAATAATCAGAACGCCTTTCATGCGGGAGCCCACAGAAGCACTCGCCTGCACGGCTGCTGCCGAGCATCTGGGCAGTTCCAGATTTTCTCGTATGCCGACACATGCTCTAAAAATTGTCGGGTGGCACCTGGAGGATTTACGAGATCTTCGAAGGAGGGGGGTAGTGAGGAGGAGGAGGAGGAGGAGGAGGAGGAGGAGGAGGAGGAGGAAGGAGGAAGGAGGAGGAGGAGGAGGGAGGAGGGGGAGGGGAGAGGGAGGAGGAGGCAGGAGGAGGAGGAGGAGGAGGAGGGTAGGAGGAGGAGAGAGGAGGGAGGGGAGGGGGGGAGGGGGGAGGCGGACAAGGGAGATATCTGGGGATGTGTTGGGACGGGGGTTGGAGGTTCCCCGCGGAGGCGATGCGTTTGTTTCTTCCGAAATCTTCGGCGGAGGTTGCTGGAGGATGGGGAGGAGGAGGTGGAGGAGGAAGGGCCCCCCCCCTCTCACCTCCTGCTCCTCGCGCTTGCGTTTCGTTGCGTTCCCCTCGGCCTGAGCTCTCTGCGGCCCGAGGTCGTCGGTCGTCGGCGTCAGCGTAGTCTTTGTCGTCGTCGTCGTCGTCGTCGGGGTCGTCGTCGTCTTCGTCATCCTTGTCGTCGATGTCGTCGTCCTCGCCGTGGTCGTCGTTGTCGTCGGCCACCGTGCGTCGTGCAAATCCAGACATGGATCTCCCTCCCCCCGTGTCCGATCAGGGATTCTGACGTTTGAGTACTCCCCTGCTGGGCCGAAAGCATGGAGAGCTCACAGAAGCCTACAACTGCAAGCCACTCGAACTCTGCAGACCACAGTAGGCCACCCCATGAGGTTCTCCCTCTCTCCCTCCTTCGCCTCCTCCCCCTGCTGATCCTCCCTCCTCCCCCGCCATCTCCCTCCTCCCTCCGCCCTACTCCTCCCTCCGCCCTACTCCGCTTCCTCTTCTCTCTCTCTGTTCCCTTCCCTTCTTCCTCCTCGTCCTCCCGCCTGGGGGGGACGTGCGAGGGGGCGGGCCTCTCCAGAAGGCGGCAGGGCTGCTCGCCAGCCCTCGGGCCTCTGCGAAGCCGCCTCCGTCTTCGGAGGAGGCTTACACAGCCTCTCAGAAGGCAGGCGGTCTTCCCAAGGGCTCCCACGAGGGCGCGAAGCTACTCGCGCTCCGCGGTCCTCGCTCCTTCTCCCCCTCCTCCTCCTCGCCCTCCTCTTCTCCCTTTGGGGGGGGGGGGGCGGCGCGAGAGCGCGAAGTTCTTCGAGCTTCGCGGAGCGCGAGAGCGCGAAGTTGGGAGCCCTGGCCTTCCGAGCCTTCTGCGAAGGCACGGTCCCCCCCGTCTACGGGGCCTCGTCGCCGCCCCGTGCACCGCGCCCCGTGCCGCGGCCCGGGGCAGCTGCCACGGTCCCCCCCGCCTGCTGCCGCGGCTGGGCCGCGGCTGGCCGCGTGCGGGGCGGAAGGCTCCCGCCTCGGAGTGCCCCTCTTTGTCTCCGGAGGGGAAACAAAAAAAGACACAGACGCAATGAATCGCCGATTCTCCTGAAAGTATGGGAGAATTCGGGAAGTGGGGGGGAGGGCAAAACGCCCAGAAGGTATGGACAAATATATGGGGAGTCATGCTATTAGTGTGTATTTATTCGTGTGTCCGGGGGCCCCATTCATCCTCCCACCTCCTCCTCCGCGGCCGCCGCGTCTGCCTCAGTCTCCTCTCCCCGCATGCTGGGCAAGTCGCCCTTCGGTGGCCCCTTTCTTTCAGCCCGGCCTGCTCATGCAGCCGTTCTGCCCCGTCGCCGACGTGAAGGGTGCTCGCCCCTGGGCTCGCCGCCGATTCTCGGGCACCCGACGGCGTGGCATCTGCTCGCAACTTGGCTCCGCAGAGGGGCTCGGCATCGCTCGGACGTGTGCATTTTTCCTTCGGCGAGGACCATCGAGGAGCATCCTTGATCATTTGGCGAAAAACCACGCACGAAAGTGAAAAAATCACACGGAATGGACGTCCGAGCGATGGCGAGGGGGTGCCGTCCTGGGCCGTGCTCCGACGGTTCTGGGACTGGGCCAGGGCCCCCGGCGGCCGAGAGTAGCAAGCAATCCGGTTCGTTCTTCTTTGCTCGCGCGCCATGCAGCAACAACACCAACAACAACAACAACAACAACATCAACAACAACACCAACAACAACAACAACAACAACAACACCAACAACACCGACAATGATTTTAAGGCTGTTCGCTCCGATCTGCTCGCTTGCCACCCAACACGTAAATCCCAAACCCTCGATGACCGCCTTCTTCGTCTTCGATCTCGCACCCCCCCTCGTACCCTGCGGCGCGTAGCTCACGCGGCCCGCAGCGCAGGGGGATGGAGGGAGGGAGGCAACGGATGGGGGCGAGGGACGAGCACGGAGCACGAGAGAGACCAGCAGCAGGGGGGCCGGGAGCAGCACGACAAGGCGGCTGAACCAGACGGGAGGGTCGGCGAGGCAGACCTGAGCGGGCGAGCCGGACGGGCGGGCCCAGGCGGCCAGGTCGAGCGGCCCGCGTCGTTGACGCGTCAGCCCAATAAATGGCGGGGGAGCCTCGAGCAGTAGCGCAATTCCCCAGGAATTCGTAGGGAGGATGGCCAAGGCGAGAGCGTGCTTCTCGAGTGTCGAGGGCGCGGCGCTTCAGTGAGTTGCAAAGATTTCCGCGCGAGCTCGCGATGCTTGCATACATTGGGAGGAAGTCCTGGGCGAGAGCGCGATGTTGCATAGCTTTTGACGAGGTGTCGGGTGGGAGCCGTGGAACTTCAATCAGGGCTGTACCTAAACGCTGTTTTGCTGGACTTCAGCTGTGTTTTGTGTTTCGTTTTGGCCAGGGGGTACAGGAAAACAGATAGAGCGAAACGAACAACACAACGAAAACAAAACGAACCACAACGTTTAGGTTCAGCCCTGACTTCAATTATGGAACACATATTATTGTTGGACACCCTATATCCGCTCTGGCGCTCTGACCTCGGCGCTGATTGCACTTCCTTTGAAAACTCGCTGACGCTCAGGCGCTTCGAATCCGCGCCGCACCGGGCCACCCAACATCAACAACAACAGCTACAGCAACAGCTACAGCAACAACAGCAGCAGCAGCAATAGGAACAACAACACTTACAACAACATCACCGACAACAACAACTAGTTCAGACTGATCGCTCTGATCTGCTCGCTTGCAATGCAACGCGTATATTCCAAACTCTCGATGCCCGCCCTCTTCGTCTTCGACCAGACCCCCGTGAAGGTATATGTGCGTTACCTGGCACGCGTATTCAGCGCAACCTGTAAAAACACTTGGAAGAAGGGACGGATGGAAGTGGGAGGGAGAAGAATGGATCACGAGAGTGAGTAGCTAGAGGGGCTAGGAGCAGAAAACACGCGCCAGAAGCAGACGGACAGATCGGGCGGGTAGAACCGAACGGGCGGGTCGGGAAGGTGGGCCCAGGCGGCCAGGTCGAGGAGGCGCGTTGCTGAAGCGTGAGTACTGCAGAAATCGCGATGAGAGCTCGAGGATGGCGCGAGTCCCAAGTAAATCGCGAGAGCGACCAAAGCGAGAGCGTGATTCTTGAGTGTCGAGGGC